ACATTTTCTAAACCGAATTTTAATTGTCACATGAAAACTGCGAAACGTTGGCCTATTTCACCTAATCTGTATGTTCAGGAGTTAACAAGGTTATCCATGCAATCCTACTCGACCTGTGACACACTGTATACGTTCATTCAACCTGCGACTCCCAGAGCGTTCTCAATTTTTTTGCACATAATGGAACCATAAAACATTTTCCACAATTGTCTCGATGATTTTTGCAAATCGACAGACATTTTTTTTTCAAAATCCGAAAAACTTTCATAGTCAACAAATGGAATAACTTCCGAAATGTAACTCGATAACAGGCGAATGGAAAGCTCTCGGAAAGACGAACATTAAAAAATACGTCCAAATCCGATGGACAGTTCAGGAGTTACGAGTTTCGTTAAAGGACAAAAGACAACGGTGTCACAGCGAATGGGCATGGGTGTATGTTACATGACCGCATGTAAAGAAAAATTGGGTGATAGAGGGGTCAGGACAAACACTTTTTCCAAATAAACGGAGGGTCCAACGTGTTTCATTTGGGAGCCACCTCCAAACAAGTGGTGAAATTTGGATTTTTTCGTTAATTTTTCTCTCAGCAAGCATGGACAAGATGAGTGCCACGCCTTTGAATAGGTTTTCGGGTATGCCCTATCCGATTTTAAATTTTTTTTTCAAAATTCCTGCCACGAAAGAGCGCACCCCTCCCTTAGGGGCGCGAAAAAAATTTTGATTTCGATGAAATTTTGTATGTGGGGGTTTTTGAACATGAAAATGACGAATCTGGAATTAGTTTTTGAAAATTCGAAAAAAAAAGTTCCACTGCAATTTTTGATCGGACAACGAAAATGGCGAGAATTCCACAAAATTTGTAGTCGAACAGTTTTTAAAAATAACTTTTTAAACAAAAGATACCAAATTTCGACGAATTCAGAATTTTTTTTCGAACCCCCAAGAAGGGGTGCGCCCTTTCGTGGTAGGAATTTGAAAATAGGGCATACCCATCTTTGTTAATCTTATGGTTGCTGAGAAAAAAATTAAAAAGAAATCCAAATTTCACCACTTCTTTGGGGGTGGCTCCCAAACGAAACACGTTGCGGAAGCGGAAGCAAATGTGTATGCATAACTGCATACAGAAACGAAAACAAGGGGAGGAACGAAGGCGAAAAAAGAAAAATTGCCCTTTGGAGAAACAGAGGTCAAAACGGGGACAGAAGCAGGGGAAATCGGACGGGCGTGACAGTGCCGGAAACAAAAACCAGCGGAGGCATGTGGGAAATCAAGGTGAAAACAGGACAGGAGACAAAACTGGAAGTAGCTGAGACAAGGTAACCCAGAAGGAAAATGTGAAACATATATAGACAATGGAGCGAAAGTAGAAACAGAACAGCCAACAGACTCGGAAACGGAAACAAAAATGGAACGGAGGATTGCCGGATGCGAAAATGAAAACGGAAACTGGGATAGAAGCGTAAACAATACAATAACAGAAAGAAAGTTCCATACTCTTATATTTGTAGAATGTAGGAAATAAGGTGGGAGAAAAAAAATAAAGAAAATGAAACAAGAAAACAAGGTTATAAGATGAAACCGTCGCACAGTTGATCCCAATCCCAAAAAGCTGACCAAATATGAAAATATTTAGCGATTTTTCTAAAACACTATATAATAGAGGTTTTGTTGATTAAGAATCTGATGTTGGATTTTCAAAAAACAAAATGGCGGATCCAAAATGGCGGATAAAATTAAGATAAATTGTTGTTTTCAAATGAAAGTTTATGTAGTGGGGTTTTTGGGTGCTTTGATTACGAATCTGATGTTAGGCTTCCGAGAAACAAAATGGCGGATCCAATATGGCGGACAAAAGTGACGAACATTTGTTTTTTTTAAATGAAAGTCGGTATGGTGGGGTTTTTGGGTAAGCCAATTAAGAATCTGATGTTAAATTTTTAAGAACCAAAACTGTGGATCCAATATGGCGAATAAAATTAAGAAAAATTGTTGTTTTCAAATGAAAGTTTATGTAGTGGGGTTTTTGGATGCTCTGATTACGAATCTGATGTTAGGCTTCCGAGAAACAAAATGGCGGATCCCTAGGCGGATCCAATATGGCGGACAAAAATGACAAAAAATTTTTTTTAATGAAAGTCTGTATAGTGGGGTTTTTAGGCACGCCAATTAAGAATCTGATGTTAAATTTTTAAGAAACAAAATGGCGGATCCAGTATGTTGATAAAAATTACGAAAAATTGTTGTGTTTAATTGAAAGGCGCTGAAGTGGGCGTCTGGGTGTTCTGATTAAGAATCTGATGTTATATTTTCTAAAAATAAAATATCAAGTTTAATAGTGCTAAAAATGGTAAAAAAAATGTTTTATTTAAATACATCTATATAGTCGGTGGGGCACGACTTATTCACTATCCGATGATTCACCATATTTACTTTCTTTAGCACTACGTATATCACACAATTTCCGGCAAATTCAAAAGCTGTAGCTGTTTCGGTTTATCGCTCGCGGAGGACACCTAACCAAAATCATAAACCTTCGCGGACATACATCCACCCATTCCCCAAAGAAACTTTCGCGGGCATACGTTTGGACAGGTATAAGATTTTTATTTATATAGATCATAACCATAATTTCATTATTTCAAATATCGACAAAATTTCACAATTAATTGCATAGATATACAATAATGTGCCGAAGGCAAATTAGCACCTATTATTTTAACATATATATTTTATTGACAGCATAAAGAATAGGACTAACTTATGTTTTTTACTGAATAAGATAGAATATGTTACTATTCCATTTTTGCCCACTTTTTTCGTTTTTTGGTAATGAGAAAGTTGGACTTAATGATACAGGGTGTTCACAAAAGACTAGTAAAGTTTCCAAATTTCAATGTCTGCCACAAAAATAGTTACACATTAATCAATTACATGTTTATAAACCGGTGTAGACCGTGATAATAAAACACAAATGATTGCCAGAAAGTAAGCAAGTGTCACATCACAAATAAATTACCTCTTTCGTAATAAACTAAGATTATTTAAAAAGACTAGTTCTTTTTCGAAATTCGCCTTTTCTTATTTTACTACGACATAGGGAGTACACTTGCAGCAAATTATACATTTATGGCACTTGTTTACTGTCTGGCATTCTTTGGTTTTTTTTATTATCACGGCCTACTCCTGTTTATAAAAAATGTAATTAATTATTGTGTAACTAGTTTTGTCAAAAATATTGAATAATCTAAAAAATATAGGGTTTTGGCACAGGGCACTCCTTATAAAAATTGAAGAGCACACAAAGGACTATCGAATAAAGAAATAAAATAGTGGTAATTCCATTTGACATTTATTTGTGAACACCCTTTATCACTAAATTCAACTTTCTGATTACCAAACATATTGATCAATGTATTTATTAACTTCAAAATCGCTACGATTTATCAAAATGGCTTACAGAGAAATCATTCGGAAAAAAATTAATAGTTTGGCAACATTGACAAAAAAACGAAATAGTGAATAGGTTTTCATGCAGAGGTTAAAAAATGACATCTAATCGGCTAAAAACATACAGACTGTTCCATCAAAAAAATCCGCTGTGTATTGATACCGTAAAAATGGGACACCCTGTACATTCAAAACAATTTCTGTAGATGCGCAACGATCTATTTTTGACATTTACAACACAAAGGATTTTTTGGTATTTTTTACCAGGTATAAGCCATTTTTTTCCAGGGAATTTCCGGCCTGGGGGACTATAATGATTTTCGGATTCAGCGCGTCTTTAAAAAAGTAGTAGCGCTTATATTTCACTTTGGCTGTTCGGTCTGTCGGTCGGCTGCAAAGGTTTTTTAAGTACAACTCTCGAAGGAATAATCGTAGAATGCATGCCAAATTTTGTTGAGATCATAATTTCCTCGTCCCCGTTTAAGAGTGCGAGGAAAATTTGCGACCGATTTATTTTGAAAAAAATCGTTAATCCCCTTGTAAGTAAAAGGCGAAGAGTGCACTTTCAAATTTGATTTTTCCATGTTAATAGGCCTTATGGACATTTTATGACTTAACGAGAATGCAAACATGAAATAATCTTTAATTTCTGATCGAATGACATGACGCCAATACCAAGTCTGTAAGTGGTGTAGTTCCGGAGCCTTTGTGACAGACAGACAGATAGGCAAACAGACAGACAGACAGGCAGACAGACATCAAGAGCGAAAAAGTGCACTTTTTATTTTTTTTGAAAGTGCACTAAAACATGTTTGGCACAATCCTGCGAAAAAAAGAAACAAAAAACTTGGGGGTTCGCGCAGATACTTTTAATTCAACAATTGCAGTGTCGTCTATGTATAAAACATCCGTGGCGCAATCGATTAGAATGAAGTTTTTGGGATATAATCCTCACTGTACCAAAGATAAAAGCAACACAAATATTACTACATGTAGTACATGTATTTGGTAATTATTCAAGACAGGGCTTAATAAAAGTTATGTTAAACACTGATGGTAATTAAGTAAAAGAATTCCATCAAATTAGTGTACATTAATGGTAATTAAACCGTCGGTCGTGGAGGATGACGTTTTATGCATTTATGCATAAATGAAAGTTACAGATTGTGACAGATCGTAACCGGCTGGAAATGTATTTTGGAGTTCTTCTTTGAGATTTGTTCTTTACGACTTTGTAATCAGTGTGTCAGCGCCGTTCTCCTGAAAGCCATTAATCGCTTCCATTTTAGAGGACGACACGACAAACGGAAACGAATTAGAAACATTGTATCTGTAGTTACTTTGCGTTATTACCGAACTGGATCAAGGTAAAGGTACCTACTTCGAAAGTTTCAAGGGATCGTCATTTGTGTAAATACATTGTTTTTCAACTGTCATTGCCGGGGAAGTTTTCTAATTCGAAACTAATTACGCGCACGTTTCGATGAAGTAGAATTCTTTGAAAAGTTAAGTACGGCAAATACAAAGATGAATAATTCAAAACTATTTACCTTCCGCAGCATGTCCTCCAGCGAGTCCATGTCGGAGCTTCCGTTGTTGTTGTTGCTCGGTTGAACCATGTGATTAACCCCTTAAATATTCACACGTACGTTTAATAAATAATAAAGTTTATGAGCACTGCCTGTACCGAACACAATTGTTTAATTTCGCTATCGTAAGTAGAGGGTGGATCTTCAACAAGAGAGCGTAGAGGTAGCCAAACTCGAAAAGTTTCGAATTTATGGGGGCATTACAACCAAGGCTCGCAAAGTTTTAGGCACGAAACCAGAAAATTTGAAAATCGAAAAGTAATAAGTGAAAGTTTAGGTGTATTCTTCAAGTGAGAAGGTCCCAGGAGTCCTCGTGTGAAGTTTTACGTGGTAAATATTGATCACATTTTACGGTCGACCCACATTCTGTCATCGCTTGGTTCGGTTTTCACAAAACGAGGGCTATTTTAGGCCTTCCACAATCTTTATCAATCATTAACTCGTGAAGTTTTCAATATTCGCGATTATTCTCGAAACGGTTTTAGTAAGTAATGCAAATTTGATAAATTACGGCAGGCCGGATTCTAACGGAACGCATCGAAAACCATAAGCGTAATTACTTTACCAAGTGTTCCCGGAAATTGTCTTTCGCCAAAATCAAATTATAAAACAAACGGGAAAGCAAGAAATTTTACATGTCAGTGCAAATTACCGGTCGACTAACAAACAACACACCGCCGAAGTCTGTTTGTAATTAACCCTGGAGACCACTAATTGATATGGCAAAACATAACAATTAGTCTAGCGTAATGATCTCGAACCGTTCCGGCTCTATGATTATCCAATGTTCGTGTAGGAAGTTAAAATCACAATCTTTAACTAAGGTGGCCGTTACCATCATCTGAACCAAAACGGATACAAAAAATCTCGTAACGACTCGAAAAAGATGAGGAGAAAGTCTCGCAATAAAATCGTGGAAATGGTAAAGGAATATCGCGACAAAGCTGCTGAAGCAAGAAAAAGCGTTCGCAACACGTTAAAAGCTCCGAGCTTACTGCTGACAGTAGCGTCGCGGTGCCGGGCGTTGAACATGCCATGCGCGTTTTGCAAAATCTAATCTATACGATCATATCATACCTGTACAGTACATTTATCAATTAGAAAAATCGACAATCCGCGCTTTCGATTCGAAATCTTACCGGAGGACGTTACCAATAAATCAAGTACCATCGCGATTGGGTGCCACACGTAGGATTGCGTGGTAAATGCACATTTTCAAACAAAACAGTGGCGTATCACCCGGTTACCCGTAATGAGAACATAAATTTTTTCCCAATCAGATCGAATAATTCCCAAATCTTTCCTAATCCGCCAACAAGAGATGGAAAATGAGTCATGAATCTATTATTCTCGCCTCTGGAATTAATTTGAATATAAAACAAAGAGCCATCTTTCCATTCGAATTACAAATAAAAATTGAATAAAACATGCATTTCGCAGAAACGCCGCTTTAAATAAATTCTCAAATACAAATAAAGCGAGTACCATAAAGTGTAAGCGTAGTTGCATGTTTTTAACTCGACTATTTGCAGAAATCGTTCAGTGCAACATGCACGACGGCCATAAAACTAGGTAATTTTGTGTCTCCGATTTCTAGTAAAATGCCTTTATTCCGAGTACTCGAGAGCAGCTTGACGCAATTTAGTATTAAACATGTCGAGGGGGTTTCGCCTTGATCACGAACCGAACTCAAATTTTACTTTAATAGTTTGACGAATTCGTAGGATGCATAAAAATTTCGCGATGCTCTTCAATGTATTTTACGGCGTAAAGTTAACGACGCTCACACGGAACAATGTAATTTTCATGGAACAATTGTAACAAGATTAATTTCACTAAACTCGGCAAGTGCGATTATGAACTTGCAGCTTAATATTCGGATTTTCGGTAGAATTTTCGCGGACAGTCTAATCTAATATTATCCCAATGTGATATACTTCAAAACTACCTAAATTAGAGGGCGAAAGAGAGATTCGCATTGCTTGGCTTAAAAGAAACACAATTTTACACAATGGGCCCATATGCACATGCAGACCTGGAAGCTCATAACGTTGTTAAATAAGTTACAATCCAGCCAGCTTTAATCTATTATAATTTATTGGTCTCCGCAAACCGCAACAAGTCTAAAGATTAAAAGCCTCCAAGAGATTTCGACAAACCTCCAGAGTTTTGAAAAGTCCCTTGGAAATTAGAATCTTTGCTTTCAAGAGCACGTAAAAGTCTTATTGGTAATTATTCAAAAGCATTTCCGAGTTTTTAATATTCTCTGCCGTTTTTAGCACCCTGTAACTGTTCGTGAAGAGCTTTTGTAAGTCCTTAAGAGTCTTTAACAACTTTTAATCACTTAGTATACGAATCTTGAAGAGTCTTTAAAATTATTTACGTGGTTAACGGGTCTCCAAAAGTTAGTGTTAAGCTTATTCAACAGTTTCAAGGGATTCCAAAAGCCTTCAAAGGTCTATACAAGGCTTTTAAAGACTAATTAAATGTTTTCGAAAGACTTCAAAAGACTCCAAGGATCTTATAGAGACTTTCGGCATGTTTAATTGAGTTTTGTAGCCTTTAACCATTTTTAACACACTTTAAGAGTCTATGATAGACTTGTGTTGATATGAAGAACCTTTGGAGCTTTTATAATAATAAAACCTGAAAATCGGTGATGTTATATGAGAATAAACTAAACAAATATACAAAAAGGAGCTCCTGGGCATGGCTATGTATGTGCAAAACCAAATTTTAAACCTGATGTTAGTTTTGCTTAAAAAAGTTGGCACTGCACATCCTGCACAAAACCAAATTTGAAAAATGGCGCTAGAGTTACTTTTATTCCAAGTGGCTATGTATCAAATTTCATTTGAACGCCTCCATAAATAAGACAGTTGGCACTGCGCATGCGCAAAACCAAATTTTGAAAATGGCGTTAAATTTTCTTTTATTCCAAGTGGCTATGTATCAAATTTCATATAAATCCTTCCCCAAATAAGAAAGTTGGCACTGCGCATGCGCAAAACCAAATTTTGAAACTGGTGTTAAATTTGCTTTTATTCCAAGTGGCTATATATCAAATTTCATTTAAATACCTTCATAAATAAGAAAGTTTGCAATCCGGTTTGTTAATGGTCGAGATGCGAAAAGGGCACTGTGAATGTTGATCGATTAGGCTCATTTTTTGGAATTTGCGTTTTATATGGCTAAAGCTATTACGCATATTGAATTTCATGCAATTCGGTTCATAACTCACGGAGATGTCAAAAGGGCCTTCCTTATTTTTTGTGCTACATTGCCAATTCACGAACTCCGATCTACAAATTTGATATAGAATCCACCTACAAAATTTCCTCCTAATCGAACCATTCGTTTATGAGTTATCGTGCTAACGGACGGACATACATCACAACATTATAAACTCGCTAGGAGCTCGTTAATAAATTGTGTTAAGACCACGCAAGTTCAGCGCGGTCGGGGTAAGCACCACGCCCATTAAACTATCTATTAGTACCCTACAAATAAACTCCAAGTAGGTACTCATTTTATAAACTGAGTTGACACCTCGGATGAGAAAACGTAAAATTGTTTTTCAAAATTTACGTGAAGAGCCTCCCGAAACACTTTTCTAGTCGTATATGCCCACGATACGACCATGACAGTAGGTACACGACCCAGATCACGCCACACTGTAACGAAAGCTACAAGCAACATATGCTGCAGTTCAGTCGTTCAACGGCAATGAACTAAACCAAGATAAAACCAAGACAATCATGTATACCATGGACAAGTGACAAAAGACGGATAACCCTGTAAAATTTCTAGGGGTGGAAATCGACGCACGTTTAACCTGTAGAGACCATGTAGAGCAACTGTGTATGAAACTATCACAAGCCAGATACCACAAAAGGGCTTCATCATGACAACTGATGAAACCCCGACAAAAAATGGCGCAACGTTGACATTTCGTTTAACGTTGACACAGTCCTATCCCGAAAGTCGCTCATAACTGAATAAAATGTGCTCATACGAACCCGTGCGACCCCAATAGAGTTTTCATGTCAAATTTTTTTTTATTGGTGCCCAAGATTTATTTCAGGTGTTAATCAAAATTTGTATAATAAATTCTTTGGAATTGTCGGAAGTTCTTCTCACAAATTTTAAGTCAATATTAGGATTTTTTTATAACAGATGCTGGATGTGTACGAGGAGAGATTATAAAATTCTAAATTTCAATTTTGTTTTGAGCTAGCTCGCACATTCCTCATTCCTAAATGCGGAACACAAGTTTTGGTTGAACAATGAAGATTTCTTAAACATTTTACGTGAAACTGTCTATTTAGACTCAAATAACACACACAAGTCACAAGTCGTAAATTATCTTATTCACATCAGACTACCCAAAAAATTAGCCAAAAATGAAAAATGTGTGCCTATCTTGGGATTGCCGACACCCAAACAGCTAGACGCATGGTTCTTAAAAGAATTCTTGATTTATTAACAAACACGCTTGTCGAAATACCCGCGAAAAATAAATTAGATTTTTTTATTCCAAGGACTATTCCTGTTTTTTGCACGCCTCTGTACTCTTAGTAAGTCAAACTTGTAATTTCTAATAGATATAACGTACATACCTTATACTTGCCATTACGAAAGCAATTACTGTGACATACCTGCAACAGAAAAGAAAGTATTAGTAATCAACAAATTACTATTAATTTTTGCTAAAGCTATATAACGTCTAACGTGTGGCCTCCGATTACGAAAAATGTTTTGTCGAGTTGAAAAAGCAAGCCGTAGTAGTGCACATTAGGGCCTTTTGTTATGGTTCTCTTCTTATTAAAAGTCAACAGTTTCTACCGTCCGAACAGCCATCGAAAATTTCTCATCTTATTCATCCACCCAGTTTTATTAGTCATCTAATTGTGTTAAAGTGAAGTTCAGAATATCGCAAACTTTTTACGATTTGGATTTAAACGTTTTAGAGAAGTTGTAAGGATTTGTTCTTTTATACACGCGTCGTTATATACCTCAATTGTGCAATTGTACGAGTTTTTCCCGAGAAACATCGGACTATGGCACTCATCTCATTATTTAAACCGAGGGAGTAAAAAATTTCAGATTTCAAAGAAAGACCTATATGGAACTCGCATAAACTTTCCAAAACATATTGAGTAGGTATAAAATTTTGAGTAATTTTGGTTACAAATTATTTACGCTGGAAACCAATTCATTTATCTCCAAGCCATTTCTCTCTCTCACTTTAAAAATACTAAAAAAAATTGTAAGTTATTTGACAAGCTTAGCACTTATAATGTTCGATTAAGCTAAAAGGCTGAGAAAAATTGGCACAACTTCCGATTAATTTTCAATTTTGAATTAAATTAATCCACATCAATTAGAGCACAAAATTTTTAACATTTCATTTTATTGTTGTTGCAAAAGTAATTAATTTTTTCCACGTTGTCGTTAAAAGCCTTAGAAACAATGAAAAATAGTCCTACTAAGTAGGGGACTATGCTCGGTTCCTCCAAACGTTAATTAATAATGATTTATGAACGATAAAGGTTAATTCGGCGTCCAAATGGCTTTCGGGTTTACGGTAAAATCGTAATTTAAGTATTTACTCTAAAATCTGAAAACATTACCTCATTATACTTAAAATCAAATTATGATCTGCTAATCGAAAATTGATGCAATCATAGCAATTTGGTGCCGATAATCACCTCCATTGCACGTTCGGTGATGGGATTACAAATAATTGTTGAAGATAGCTTTCAATAAAGTACAGACGTAATAAATCATTTACGGGTAACAATAGGTGATCTTGCTTGCATATAATTACGTGCTGTAATTTCCCGCTAAATCATCGCGCATCCTTTGTGCGTAACTGAATTAATAATCTTTGCATTTCTCTGCAACGAAACTACCCTCCTATTGTATTGCAAATTCGCTAAAATCAAATCCATTACTCATTTTTCACATAATAGACAA